CAGTGAGCGGCCGGTCTGTACGTGGGATCCGAACCCTCAGCGGGAGCGCCGCCTTGCTTCCCAAGCGGCGCACTGTAGCAGTGCGCCACCGGGCCGGTCCACTTTAATCCTTTTCAACCATGACTATTGAACAAGCTATCCTTCCTGAAGCAATCTCTTCTCTTGGCTTTCATAAACCCTTACATACTCCTCATTTTCTTCCTGTTTCTCTGGTCCCTCTTTTGCTAGCTCCTCCTCTGCCCTACCCTTAAATTTGGGAGGTTTCAGGGCTCTATCCCAGGCCCTCTTTTTTTTTCATTCTTTACTTTGTTCCTGGGTGATCTTTTCCACTTTGGGGACTTCAGTTGCCATCTTTATGCTGGCAGCACATGACTCTAGCCTAGATGTCAATGCTGCCCCTAAGTGTATACTCACCAGCTCCACCCAAATTCCACATGTCCAAAAGCATATTTGCTCTTACACTGCTCTTCTAGTGTTGCTTGTCTAATTACATGCTGCTTTACCAAATTGCTCGAACCAGAACCCTGCGGGCAATCTTTGATTCTTCCTTCTCTCTTACCTTTTGTATTCTAATCAATCACCAGTGGACACCTTATTCTCTGGTCCTATGATAGATTTTCATTTTGGGGATTTTTCTTCTCCATTATCCTGGGGATTCTTCTCACTTCTCTGTTATGTTGGATCTCTTGTTTCCTGGATCCCTCTTCCTCCATCATGGTTTATTCCTTCATTTTGGTGGAACATGTCCTGTAGTATGCATTGGAAGTAATTTTTAAAGACTCCTTATGTCTGAAAATATTTTTATTCTAACCTAATATTTTATTGAGAACATAGCCAGCTATAACGTTAGGTTGGAAATAATTTTCCCTCAGAATCTTTTTTTTTTTTTTTGTCCTTTTTGAGACCGGCCACACCGCACTCAGCCATTGAGCACTGTGAGCGCACCGGTCATCCCTTATAGGATCCGAACCCGCGGCGGGAGCGCTGCTGCACTCCCACCGCCGCACTCTCCCGAGTGCGCCACGGGCTCAGCCCATTCCCTCAGAATCTTTAGGGATTGCTCCATTGTCTTTCATCTTCTAGAGTTGCTATTGAGAGTTACAGTGCCGTTATAATCCTTGATCCTTTGCCTGTTTCTGTCCTCTCTGGAAACGTATAGGATCTTTTGACCTCAGTATCCTGAAATCTTATGTGCTGTGATTTGAGTCTATCTTAATTCATGGTTGAACACTTGGTGGGCCTTTTTTTCCCTTAACTTTTTTTTTTTTAATTGTGAAATATAACACATACACAGAAAAAGTACATATTCTGTAAATCCAGAAATATAAAGTTTAATGGATTATTGCAAAGCCAATACCCATGTAACCGCCACTCATAAAAGAAATAGCACATTCAAGTGGGTCTTTGTAATCTAAATTCTCCAATTTTCCCAATTATGTCTTTGATAATTTCCTCCCCTCCCCTGTTTTCTCTTTTACCTCTTTCTGATATTTTTATTAATCAAATGTTGGACCTCCTAGACTGATCCTCTGATTTTCTTTATCTTTCCTATTTTCAGTAGCTTTGTCTTTTTGCTCTGATTTCTGAGAGATTTTCTCCCGTATTTTGATAGCATAATATTTTGTTTTGCTATCATATTTTCAATTGCAAAGCATTTTAAAAGTGTCTATATATTCCTTTTTTATGAAGCATCCTGCTATCATTTCATTACGCAATACCATTTCTTATCACTTTGAGAACATAAGTTACTGGGTTTTTTTTCTTCTTTGAGTAGTTTGTTTCTCCCAAGTTGTTTTCTGGTCATTTGTTTTGGACTGTATCATCCATTTTAGAGGCGTTCTTCAGATATGTGTTGAACCTTGACTGGTTTGCTCATATTTAAGATCCTGGTTACGACAAAGTTACTTGGAAACTGAATTTGCTACTGTGGTCTTTACTAAAGAATGATTTGGTCAGCTTTCTCCTTGGAAACCATGGATATTGGTATCTTTAAGTTTTTTCTCTTTGGTGGGTCAAAAGACCCTGCTTAGAAGACATACACCTGTATATCTTCCTGCCTAGAAGAAATATAACTGGCTGACAGCTTTTTGGGACCCAAGTTGGGGAAAGAAAGCTGCAGGGGCTGTGAGTGGGGGAGAATGTCTTATCCAATACATGCTTTTTCCTTTTATTTTCCCTCATTTCAGTATGATATCCTTGCCCTCAACAGTACTTATTGTCCCCCTGTCCAGAGACTTTCTTTTTAAACCTTGCCAGAGAAAAACTTTCTGTTGGGGAGGGAAAGGGACAGTCTCCTCATTGTGTAGCATTGGGTAGGGTATCTGGGTGTCTCTCTTCTTTTTAAGGTTTTAAACCAAACAACCTGTTTTCAGCCCCTTCTTACCCCCATTTCTAGATGCACTTGGTCCTACTTCCTGAGTCTGTTGTGGGTGCTCTGGTGTAGATGGATGGTGGTCCTGGCTTTTCTCACTGCTGACTTGGGATTCAGCTTTCCCATGTAGGGTCAGTGCTATTGCTAGTCCATATTCTTTCCAGCTTCCAAGCTCGTTACCCTTGTCTTCCTTCTCATTCTCACTTTATCTTCTTTGCCTATTTTTTCTTTTGGACTATTTGATTTTAGTTATTGTTTTGCAGGAAGTTTTAGTAGGAATAGTAACCCTCTGTTATGTGTATTGGAAATAGTTTTCCTATTTATTATTTCTTTCTTTTTGGTATCTTTTGCTATTCAGAAGATGCTAATTTTTGTAGTAAAACTTGTCAAATCACTTTATGGCTTCAGGATTTCAAGTCATCCTTATAAAGAACCCCCTTATCCTAAGATATTCTATACTTTTTCTAACATTTTATTTTTGGATTTAGATAATCAATTTGAGATTTTAAATATCTTTTATTCATTTTGGAAAGCCAGTTTTCCTAACACTATTTATAAGGTAGCTAATCCTTTTCCTACCAATTTGAAATATCATTTTTATTTGCTAATCTGTGATATATTCATGGATATATTCCTGCACCCTATTTTGAACTGTGGACCTGTTTTTCTATTCCCATGCCATAACAACTGTAGGGTATAATGTATAGATGTGTTTTGTTATCTATCTGATAGGGCAAGTTCCCTTCATTATTATTTTTCAAAATAATCTTAACCCTTCTCACACATATACTCTTTTATGTGAACTTTTAAAAAAACAGCAAAAGTAATGTGTTTTTGGTAAAAAGCATATCAATGGAAATGTATACAGTAAAAAGTGAAAGTGTCCCTTACCTCAAATTCCATTTTTGGTCAAGTGTTCAGATTCCCATACCAGCCAGCTGCAAAAAAAAAAAAAAAAAAAAAAAAAAAAAGAATTATCATTCCATTATTCAAAGATAATTGCTACTAATATTTTCTGTGACAAATGAATTTGAAAGTAGGCTATGTTTTTAATGTTAAATCATTAAAGAGGATGTTTGCTTTTGGTTTCTGGTATTATTTATCAAGTTTAAAAGTTTCTTCTTAAATGAAGAGGAGAGATAGAATATCATTTTGTAGCCTCTAATGAAATAATGGATCTAGGCAACAGTAGGAGAAAAGTTAAGGGGGAACTTTATAACAAGGCTGAACTTTATATAAGGCTGAATTTGCTATTCAGTCTTAACAATGCAAAAGGAAACACAATGTGTTTCTGGATGAAAATAAATAGAC